CAAACTCAACCAGAATTTGAACTCAGTTTGTCAATTTTTCATTTTCTTATTTATCCAATAAACCAGCATAAATTTTAAACTTGTAACCAAACCTGACTCCCTCCTGCCAAAATAAGAACTCCTTGTATCTGGGGATGAAATGCAAGGATTGGCTTAAAAATTTTGAGGTTCCTGTTCTGGTCAGATGTCAAATTTATATTGATATTTTTCTCATTTGAAGATTAATACGGGACTTAGCTGTTCAAGATGATTTTTTTTTTTTTTTTTTAAAGAAAAAGAAATCCGTAGATAGTGATTACGATAATCTTTTTACATTTAAAAATTCAATAAGATTAAACTGGGACTTTTCCTATCTTCCTTAGCTATCCATATTTAAATTGGTCTGATGAGTTTCATGGTTTTCATCTTTAAATGCTCAGTATCTGATTTATTGTTTTGAATTTGAACTTTCTTAGAAGCATTATTTTGCATAGAACATTTATTGTAACATTTAAATGTGGTTCAGATTAATAACTCTTTCAAACCAGTGATAGAACATACACATGTGACTTATTTAATTGCATAAGATGTTTTTTACAAAACTAAAATACACAGTCCAGACATTTTTTTCTTGTTTGTTTCTGTTATAGTCCTTTTATAGATGTTATTGTGGCTTCAGTTTTTCATGTAACTTTTAGATTTTTTTTTCCTTTTTATACATCCACTCAATAGTGCTTTTACATTTATCTGTTAATTTTGTTTGCATAAAACTAATAAAATAGCTTTTACTGTGAGATGTATATGTATTTATATAGTTTTTTTTTCCTGAGAATATATATATATATATATATATATATATATATATATATATATAAATTTTGTTATGAAAGGTTCTTGTTAGTGTTTTTAATATTTTTCCCCTCTCCCCTTTTTTGTGTTGTATCTGTGCTATGGGTTATTAGTCTTGTTTTGTGGGTCAATTAAGTGTTGTTTTGTTCTTTATATCCTAAGTCCTAGTTTGGTCTTGAATGTGTTTTGGAATTCCCTTATGTCTACCATACTGAATGCAGATTTTTTTAGTTTCACCTTTTTCTTTTTCTTTTTTTTTTTTTTTTTTAATATTAATTTCTAAAATCATTGGTAAGTATTGAAAAAGCATCCATGTTTTTTGGGTATTTTTTGTTTTCTTTTTTTTTTCTCTTAACCTTTAGAATGCTACAATTTTGGTTCCATTTTATGTTGTCTTTTTTTTTTTTTTTCCTTTTAAAAAAATATAAATTTTATATTTGTTAACTTTTGTATTAGAAATAATAAAAACTTCATTAGGAAGTATTTTGTTAAATTTTCTTAATATATGATTATGGTATCATTTAATACTTGAATTTAATTTCTTGATTCTTCAGGCCTGTAGCCAGAGAGGGGAAAATGCAGGTGACAGTTTCACATACCTATCATCATCATCATCATATATATATATATATATATATATATATATATATATACTCTCCAAAATGCTGTATTAATAAAGTGAATAAATTTTCTATTTAGAAAAGTTACCTCTGAAAAAAATTATTTGTGAATTATTAAATATTTCTGAAAATGTATACAGTACAATAACATATGTCAGTTATTGTGAAATTACATAAAACAATATTATTGCTCTCCCCATTATGGTACTTACATTTGCATACAAATTTTATACACTAAATTTATCAACTATTATGGGACAGATGTAGTACATATTTCTGAAGACCAATTCAATTTATAAGTTTTGAAATAAAAATGAATAGAAAGGTTAATGCCTGACAGTTCCTTAGTAGTTTCAAGATTAAATTTAACAGTGATTTTATTCTCTACAATTACTCTTATACTATTTTTTCTTCTGATATTAGAAACAATAAATTTGCTTATTCCTTGCAAGCCTGATATTGAAACTATAAATCCTAAAGGATTTGTAAATAAAACTATTTACAGCAAATTATTCACATATTTAAAATATTTTAAGTTTGCTTCATTCTAACATAAAAATATCAATTTTTACATATGTGTTTTTTAGTGGGGTAAGATTGAGTGGGTTATAGAAAAAAAAATGAAAACTTCAGACACCCCATTTTATTTTTAATAATTCATCATATTTGATAAGACCAGTTGTAATTATTTTTCAATAGAAGCTTTTTAAAACTGTTTTGGCATAATAATGAATGTGATGTAATTGTAGGATGTTTTCCTTAAAACAGATTGATATGCAATAAGTTTTTACACCAAAAGGAAAGCAAAAGAATTCGTAATAAAACAGATTAAGCAATTTGTGTGTGAGATAGTAAAATATTTTTACTATCGAGAAAAATTTATCAAAAATAAATCAATTTTTTTTTTTTTTTTAATGTGACAACTGAATCCTGGATACCTCTTAAAGATTGCAAGCCTGCATGTCTATTGTATTTAAAATAAAGTTTTTTTCTTTGTCTTTTGTAATTACAAGTAATGGTCCTGTCATGGATTAGATTGATAACTCTTGTAATAGTATTGTCACTCAAAGTGCTTAAAATCTTTTACTGATTATGTGCCATATGTAATTTATAATATGTACTTGTGATTAGATAACAGATTGTATACAAATCTAATACTTCAAGGTTTAAACCTACTTTTAAATTTTGTGACTGAATATTTACTGGAACTATACAAATTTCCCATTGATTTTATCATATAGTATTTCATGTTTTTACTCTTTTATTATCAACTCATTGACCTTTCCTTTTCCATCACGACTGCATCTGCAGTTTCCCAATAGATTTTTTTTCATTTTATAATAATCATAGGGCATTACTTCTGAGATATCCCTCTTGATAGATTGAGAAGTCTGTTATGCCAGATGTTATGTGTTAGAATAGATGTTACTTTTTAAATCACCAGTTTGGGTTATCTGTCTGAGTAGTGTTCCTTGGAGAAAAACCAAGGATTTTCCTGTTGAAATTCACTTCTTAATAATTTTCATAGCTTACCTTTTTTTTTTTTTTTTTTTTTTTCCTTTTCCTTTTTCCTTTAATCTAAAAACTAAGAAACTTTAGTGCCTTTAACAATAAAATTTAACTATTAAATGATGATGATGATCCTCTTTAGCAGATCAAGCTGTTCAGGTGTTACTAATTGTAAAAATGTTCCATATTTTACTTAGATATCTGAAGTTGGTTATCTTAATAGAAAGCAACCCCCCATATACTTACAAGTTTGAAAAGTGACAAAAAGATTCTCATTTTTGTAAACTTGTTATATACTAATATCATTAAGAAACAGCAAACAAAAATGACCATTCACCCTAACCCAATGCTTATTAAACAAAGATATTTTTTCTTTTTGTTTTTGTAATTTACACAGAAAAATTAAGTTTTGCTCATGGAAAACTTTGTCCAGAATGAATGATAAAGTGTGCCACAATGTTCTCAGGTGTCAGTGAGTTGATAAATTTAAGATGAAAGTTTTGTTTGACTTGTACTTTTTTTATTTTTATTTATTTTTTTATTTTTTTTTGTTTACTTTAGAACAGTGATATTCAGCTTTAATGAATTCATTTAAGAAATTTGGAGTGGTTCATGGGGGGGGGATCATTTAACTTTTTGTTTATTACTACCCCTTAGCAATATAGACATTGAATTTTCCTTAATTACATTTCTCCTTCAAGATTTTATATTTCAGTTATAAGCTTTTTTTTTTTTTTTCTCAACTGATTTATGTTTACTTATTTGATTGTTAAATGTTTATCATTCTCTTTAAAAATAAGCTGATTATGTTTGTTGCCTCATTGTCTATACCTATTTCTATTAATGTATATTTTCATGATGTCAAAGTATAATTAAAAACAAAGCACAGATTTCACTTTTTTAACAATCTGGAAAATATCTTTTTCTGATTGAATTTCTGAGTTGTGAAGTTTTTAATTTACGTTATTTACATTTAGACTATTCTAAATAATATCACCTGTCTCCATGAATTTAAAAAAAAATGGAAAAATATTTTAATTTTGTTTTTAATTTAAATATATAAAATATGAGTTTCAGAAATTGAGATCACTGTAAATTATAATTGCTTTTGAGATTCTAGTGCAACTTGATGTTTACTTGTTAACTAATGCTATAAAAGTACTGTTTCCAAGGACACATATGTCCAAATTTTGACTTGTAAAATTTAAGAGGGGTGGGGGGTAGAAAGCAACCTTAGATATAATGAAGTCCATTCTGTAGGTGGTAAGGTAAATTTTCAGGAGAAAAAAAAAACCATCTTGAGTGCTAGAAAAAACAAGAATTTTATTTTATGTAAAAGAATGAAAAAGAAAAAAGTGAACCTGCATAAAATAGTCTAATTGTATATTTGTGAAAATGTTCATTAATTTCTTCCACTAATATTTTATACTTTTCAATACAAAATGAGATTTGAGCAATTGTCTTTTGTCAGAGGATCATTTTTTAAAAATATATTGACTGTAACAATTGAATGTAATTATTTTTTTTTCTTTGTTTTATCAATCAGTATTAAATATAACCAGAATTTCATAACTTAATAAATATTTGAACCAATTAGTTAATTATTTTAAGACTCAAAAACTTATTGAATGCTAGATAAGAAAATAAAATATTTTTTCTCATTCTAGATTGATAGACTGTTTTATTATTTTTCATCTTGAATAATTTGTATTCCAACTTCAGTGTAAGCCAAAAGAGGTTTGGGTTTTTGAAAACTTCCAAAGATATGCTCAAACCTTTTTTATATATATATATATATATATACACACACACACACACACACAATTTCCAACCACTTATATTTTGTTGTTGCTATTATAAACGATAATCATTATTTTTCTTTTGAAATTAAGTATCAGCATTAGGGAAAAAAGATGGGGTTTGCCAACAAAGTAATCCATCACATTCAGTTTGAATTGCTAACTAATGTATGTTTTATTATAAATTCTATGTTTTTCTTTCTTGGATGTATTGGTTTGAAATTATAACTTTTGTATTCAACAGGATGAGGCGATGAGCAGAAATAAGAAAGGGAGAACGTCAACATTGAAGGACAATGCAGTACTGAACGGCCAGGTTAGATAGGGCACTCTTCTGTCTGCTGGTGTTCACATTAAAACAAAACAATCCTTTTCTTTCTACTTGTTCTCGGTAGCACCGGTACAAGTTGAAGAGAGTGATGGACCATGTTGTCTTTAGGCTTCCTCTTCATGCTCTATATTAACATTTGCTAAACACAATCCAACTTTTACATTCATAGCAACATGCAAATTTAGGCATATGGAGAAAATATAATTTTATCTTAGAGGTATTTTGCTTAAAAAAAAAAAAAAAAAGTAAGAAAAAAAAAAACAAATAGCAGGGGGAATATTTTTTTAAATAATAATAATAGTGGAAAGATAAATTTTACATTGTCAGCTTAAATTTCTCAGTTGATTCCTCTAAGTTATATAGCACCTACATATTATAAATTTAACAGGTACAGGTGTATGTATCTTACACACACACTGTGTACCAGGTATTTGAGAAGAAATTATAATATAAAGGAAAAAGCAGATATTCAATAGAGAAAAAAAAATCTGTATATTTTCAAACCTTTGGAAATGATCATGTTGGCCATCATATCAATGATGGCAGCTCGCAAAAAGTCCTTGTTAATGTAGGGCCACTGGTTGTTTTCCCTTTTGATGATGCCTCAGCCATCATAATAGTTTAGGGGATTCAAATCTGAAGAAGTAGGAAGCTATCTGGTGGTGATAATTTTTGCCCACCCACACAAGTGAACGTTGTGGGAAGGAGCAGTGTCCTGCTGAACCTCACAGTCCCTGTCTCCTGGACCGCCCTCTTGATTTAGGGCTTGGCCTCCATGTCCAACAGTTATATGTAGGCAGTAGAATTGCATAGTTGATGATGTCCTTGATCTGCTAGACAGAACTTGGCTATCTTTATGACTGCTGAAATTTTCTTTCTCTTGGCCACATATGTTACATACATACCAGAAAGAAGTCTCCAGCTCATTCTTGACCTTTGACACAGATTATCTCAGTCACTTTGTTTGGCAGGTTAATGGTCTGAATACAAGGATGGTGTATGTTAAAATTTGGTTCATGCCTCATATTACATTGTCTTCCGTTTATGGCCTACTAAAGGTGTGTTCTCAAATAGCGGAACACATTATATATATATATATATATATATATATATATATATATATATATAAAAAATGTATGAATGAAGAAATATAGCCTTAACATGTGCTATATTTATGGGATAAAGTGCTCAATATCAGAGATTAGAGCATGTGTAAATATAAAAGTGAGCATAGAAGTCAACACTTAGAGGCAACAGTCTGTTTCATGCTAGATGCAATCGTCAGGCCATGAGTGCTGTTATTTTTTCTCGGCTATTTATATATATATATATATATATATATATATATATATATATATATATATATATATATATATATGTATATGGGTCAGTGATGCATTGTAGGTAGTCTATTTTGGCGGTTATTTTACCAGAAGTCGTTTATTTATTTTGCTTGTTTTTATTTATTTTTATTTCTTATCTTATTTATTTATTTGCTTTTAATTTTTATTCTAATCGGTGTTTTTATTAACGGAGTAAAAATTTGTTTATATCGCTTATTTAATAGTTTTGGTTTGGGAAGATAAAGCTATTTATTCAATTTTGGGGTTGATTGTTGTAGTTTATTCTAACTATTATTTTGGCAGGAACAGTTTTTAATTTGTTTATTACTTCATGTATTTATTTGGATTGATTATCTTTGTTTTTTTCTAACGGTTAGTTTATTGGGATCGGTTTGTTAGTTTATTTATTTGGATGAATTTAGGTCAAATTATTTTACTTGTTATTATTTGTTATACTGTATATTTTCTCTTTTCGGTTTTTAAGTAACGTAGTATTTTTTTTTTTTTTTTCTTTTATCGTTATATAACAGTTATAGCTATTTTTTTCATCCAATTTTTGGTTTGATTTTTAGTCTAACTAATATTTTGGTCATAATGGTTTGCTAGTTTGTTTATTATTTACTTTATTTATTTGGGTTCATTGATTTTTAAGTAACATAGTAAAAATTTGTTTTCATATCTGCATTTTGAGATGATCTTTTATTTAATAATTTATTTTGGTTTGGGAAGGTAATGATAGCTATTTTTTCCTCCAAGCAAAGTTTGCAAGTTTTTGATTGGTTGTTGTAGGCTGATGATCTTTTCCTTATTTTCCAAGATATTTTTCATGTGATGTGCATTTTGTTTTTCCTATGTATACTTTTTCTTCATTATTACGTGATTTTTATCGTGGCTTGGAATATTACATTGTTTCATATTTTTACTATGTTACTTAAAAATCAAAAACAGAAAAAATAAAAAAAATAAATAAAAAAACGAAATGAGAATAAAATAAGCAAAATAAATTAACCCAAACAAATTACCAAATCACACCTGTTAGAATAGATGAAATAAAAAAATAAGAAACAAAATCAATGAACCCAAATAAAGTAAATAATAAACAAAGTAGCAAACCATTATGACCAAAATATTAGTTAGACTATAAAAATTAAACCAAAAATTGGACGAAAAAAATAGCTATAACTGTTATATAACGATAAAAAAAAAAAAAATACTACGTTACTTAAAAACCGAAAAGAGAAAATATACAGTATAACAAATAACAAGTAAAATAATTTGACCTAAATTCATCCAAATAAACTAACAAACAAACTGATCCTGATAAACTAACCATTAGAAAAAACGAAGATAATCAATCCAAATAAATACATGAAGTAATAAATAAATTAAAAACTGTTCCCGCCAAAATAATAGTTAGAATAAACTACAACAATCAACCTCAAAATTGAATAAATAGCTTTATCTTCCCAAACCAAAACAAAACTATTAAATAAGCGATATAAACAAATTTTTACTACGTTAATAAAAACACCGATTAGAATAAAAATTAAAAGCAAATAAATATATAAGATAAGAAAAAATAAAAATAAATAAAAACAAGCAAAATAATTCAACCCGATTAAATAAACAAGCAACTTCCGGTAAAATAACCGCCAAAATAGACTACCTACAATGCATCACTGACTTGTATATATAAATAGCCGAGAAAAATAACAGCACTCGTGGCCTGACGATTGCATCTAGCATGAAACACTGTCGCCTGTAAGTGTTGACTTCTATGTTCACTTTTATATTATTTTTATATATAATGACTTAATGAGTTTTAGAAAATATTATTCAGGTTATGTACTCATGCTAGAGTTAAAATTTGCAGCATTGTATCAAATATTCACCAATAATGAACTGATCTATTTAAGTTTAACAAATCACATTTTGTTTTTTAATGTAATAATGAAAATCCATACTATCTAAAGGATTACATTAGCTAATATAAAGTTCAACATTTTGTGTTTGTGGTTTCTAAATCACTTGGAGGAATTCCACTGCCTATTTCATGTTGGGCTCATCTTGGTTGACAAAAAGAGCAGGTTGAATCTGTGACCTTAGTTTTTTTTTGGGGGGGGGTGACTTTATCACAGGCAATTTTGTTTCCAAATACAACATGCTTGTGAATTTTTAAAGAAAGCTGAGAAATAAAATTTTGTACATTAATTTGTTCAAAAGAATTAAAAAAAAAAATAAGTGAAACTGATCTCTGAAATCAGTTATGACCAAGTTTTTAAGCCTAACTGGTTAGATTCATGTAAGTCACATGATGACTTAAGTTTATTTTAGCTGTAAGTCATTAGTTTTGGAGAACAAAAAAATATAATTATGGTTAATTAGAAGTATATTATTTTGACCATGAGGCTGCAAGTTTAAAATCTGTGTACAGTCTGGATTTTTACCTCACCTTAATTTCATTATGTCCATTTTTTTTTTTGCTTTTGTAACGAGTTTGACCCCATATGTTGTTTGCAGGTTGAGCAAATGTAGATATTATTCAACTAACTTAGTAGTTTTGAATTTCCAATTTTTCAAACTTTAACAGAAATATTTTTAGACATCAGAATGTAATTCCTCAGAGCTATTTGTTTATATTTTTTATACCTTGTATGTGAATGTATTAAATATCCTTGGAAACCAATTTAGGTAAGGCCAACTTTCTGCCTATAATTATTTGACCTCTCTTCTATTAGATTTCTTATATTGTAATGTTTCTCTGATGCTCTAAAAAATAAAGATTTAACTTGTTATTCACTGGACATATTTTTGCTTTAGGATTGCAAAAAAAAAAATGTCCAAAATATCAGTTATTTTTCAGTGGTTGCAATTTTATTATTCTGATTCTGTTTTGTTTTTTTTTTTTTTTTTGTTTTTTTTTCCAAAACTACTTATTCACACTAGCTTACCTTATCCCTCTTCATTCTAAGGGCTGTATTTTTTAACACCATAACATTTAGTTTTGTTTTTTTACTGTTTATCTTCTCCTTCCCATCTTGTGATTAATTAACAAATTCTTGGGTTTTTTCTTTTTTAGTTGTAAGCTATTTAAAAGCTGACCAGAAGATAATTACTTTGAATGTCTTTTTTTTTTATATATATATATATATATATATATATATATATATATATATATATATATATCTCTGTTGATTCATGTTTTCATTTTTGGCAATGATTAGTTAAGGAGTACACATTAAATACATAAAATATAGTTACATTTTAAGAACATATCATAATTCACCGAACAAAATAGATTGCTATTGTTTTAAATTTAACAGCTAATTGTTTTTACATATGTATTTTAAATATATTATAAACTTCTGTCAATAGTAGTTTGGTTGATAGTGGATATATTTTATTGGACAAGAGAAAGAAATGCTTCAAAAGCACTATCTTTCATATGTAGTATTTGGACAAAATAATTGGTGACTACTTTTTAATATCCATAAATATTTTTCCTTTTCAAAACTGCAATGATATCTAAGGATATCGGAGCTTGAAAATGTAAGGATAACATTCAAGATTTGAACAGTCTATAGCACCTAGGAACTTTGAGAAAATAGCATAGAATGAAGAAAGATTATAAATGCTTTGTGT